TGCAAAGCACATGCCGTATCTGCGGACACTGATTGCCAACTGATTAAGTGCTGATTGCATGCCTTGGGCATTATCGCACAGTAAGACAATATCATCCGCATACTCAAGGTCGAGAAGTCGTTCTCCAGGCAACATATCCACACCGCCATTACTTACATCCATCAGAGCTGTTTCCAAGATGTCGTCGATGGCAAAGTTGAAGAGGAATGGTGAGATCGGGCAACCCTGCCTAACCCCACTGCTGGAATGGAACAAGGGAGAAAGGTGGTTGTATGCCCTCACTCTGCCTGAGGTGTTCGTGTACAGGGCCTTTAAGATGTTAATGAACTTCTCAGGCACACCCTTCTTCGATAGACAATCCCAGAGAACAGTCCTGTCCAACGAATCGAAGGCAGCCCTGATATCAAGAAACACTACGATTGTTGCCCTGCGATAAGTATGACGGTGTTCTAACATTTGGCGGAGGGTGAAGATGTGATCAATGCATCCTCGACCAGAACGAAAACCAGCCTGCTCCTCGCGAGTCAATCGTTCTCGGGTTTTAAACAACCTACGAAGAATGATAGAAGCCAATAGTTTGGACGCAATCGGAAGTAGACTTATCCCCCGATAGTTATTGCAGGAACAACGCGAACCCTTTTTAAAGATAGAGAGGACCATTGACTCATTCCAAGATGTTGGAACACTTTCTTGTTCCGAAACCTTTCCAAACAACACAGTCAATTCCTTAGTCAGAAAGTCGCCACCATCTTTAAAAAGAGCCGGAGGTAATTCATCTGGGCCAGGTGATTTGTAGCGCTTCAAGAGTTGGAGTTCCTTGCGGACTTCCGCCTCGTTTGGTGGATCAGTCGTCACCGGCCATGGGGGGCAGGACAAGCTGGTTGATGTTGCCGGAGCAGCAGGCCAGTTGAACTGCCCTTCGAAAAATTCCGCCCATCGTCCAAGACGTCGAGACATGTTAGTGATTGGCATCCCATCATCCTCGTAGATTGTTTCACTCACACCAGACTTCTTGCTGCCAGTGGCTCGGATGAGTTGGAAGAGCTTCCGGTAGGTACCAGATGCAGCTGCTGCTTCCATCTCATTAGCACGCTCCGACCACCAGGCTTCTCGGTCCTTACGCAAGCTTTGCCCAATTTCATTACGTAACAGCCTTCGTTTGTGGTCAAACTCACGGTCACCCGGAGTAGACCGACGGGCTTCCATCAGTTGTAAGGAGCCAGAAGAAACCCAGTGCTTGTAAGCGGGACGTTTCGCGAAGCCGCAAGCGGCTTTACTCGCCATTTTCATGGCGTCGTGAAGATGCAACCAATGCTCATCTATACTTTTCGGTGGGGTGTTAGCTAGCCTAGAGGCTAGCTCCGCTCGGTACTTACTTGCAACAGGAGTTGCAGCCAGTTTACTAATATCAATCCGTTGGTGGTGGTCAATCCTTCGGCCACTGAAAAGTAAGGTGAGATTGGCGCAGACCAGGGCATGATGAGAGTCCAGATAGGTACTCCAAAAGGATCGGCAGTCTTGTACACAACCACGCCAGCGGTAGCTGATCGCGATGTGATCAATCTGAGTCCAGGCTTGGGATGCAGAGGGAGGACGCCAGGTTGCACACCGGCGATGACTGTGCCAAAAGTTGGTGCTGGCCAGAAACAGGTTGTGGTCTGTGCACAGTTGCAGCAAACGGTCCCCGTTATCTGTCCTGCGACCAACAAGTCCCCATCGGCCACCTAGACGACTCTCTTCTATGCCTAGACGCCCGACCTGTGCATTCAAGTCTCCGGCTAGTACTACAATATCTGTCGAACGCGCTTTCTGGAGAAGAACTGTTAACTGATGGTAAAACTCATCCTTGATTGCATCCGGGCTGCAATCTGTCGGGGCATAGGCGGAGATGACGAAAAGACACCGTTTCTCACGCCGGTTTCTTCTCACTTTGATGGAACTTTCTAATCTAACAGCACATAACCGACTGTTAATGGGGATCCAATCGATTAGTGCTGCCTCAGCCCTAGCGCTTAGTGCGACGCCAACGCCTGCAAGACCAGACGAAGATGCCACAGGGTCTCCGGATAAGCGCACGTGGAACAAGCTTTTCGAGGCGACAGATGGAGAGAGGATTTGTAGTACTTCACTAGAGTCTTGAATACGGGTCTCGGATAGACAACAAACATCAACATTAAGACTTTCTAAAGACATAGCCAGCCCCATCTGTTGTCCGATGTGCATTAGTGTGCGAACGTTGAAGGAAGCCAGCTTGAACGGCGTACGTGGTTTCAGAAAGACTGCCTCAGTATTCATAATCGGTGGAAGCATTCACTTTCAACCAGACAGTGACTGGAGATCGTTTAGATAGGACAGATTTTCCACCAAGAGCGAGCTGCTGCATAAGTTGAAGAGTAAGGGTACACAAATTGGGGATAAAAGGGGGTGAATTAGCGATATGGTAAGTAATAATAATAATAATAATAATAATAATAATAATAATAATAATAATAATAATAATGATAATAATAATAATAATAATGTAAATTGTCTTGCTTGTAATATGAGCAGGAATAGAATCGTTAATAGAGTTCATCATTTCATTCATTTGTGTGTGGGCTGTGATACTGCCCGGGTGCCCAAACCGAAGCAGGTGGTTTTCTTAGGGGACCACACAAGTATTCCTTAAAAAAGCATATTGTCACCCTGCTTTTTAACGACAGACTAGAATGAATATGGAGTTATGGTAGCATTTCCGTTTACCATTCTATACTAATCCTATATACATATATGACGTGGGAAGTGGATAGGACATAGATTGAGGAAATCACCAATGTGCATCACGACTCAATCCCTAACTTGGAATCCGGAAGGGAAGCGGAAAAGAGGAAGGCCAAAGAACACACTACGCCGGGAAATAGAAGCCGATATGAAAAGGATGAATGTTAACTAGAAAGAACTGTAAAGGATTGCCCAGGACAGTGTTGGATGAAGAATACTGGTGTGGGGCCTATGCTCCTCCACGAGCGGTAACAGGCGTAAGTAAAGTGAGTAATATATATATTTATGTATCCTGATCAATACATGATATGTTCTGTTAAGGTTTCATATAATAATAGAGAGAGAGATAACAAAAAAAACATTGTCATTTATTGTTTTATATCATGTATTAGATGTGCTGAATGCATTCAATGATTCAAATCAATATGTTTATATCTTTGATACATGCAATTCACTTTAACAATAAGTGTATTTTATTCACTTCAAGTGTATTACATGAATGGCATTCATTCAATACTACTGATATGATTCAAATGACTCTCATCTTATTAGATTGATTGTTATTGTTTATTCTTTTAATAAAACAAACACACATTAGTTCATTCTTTGTATGATTGATTATTGCATTGTAATTTCTTGACTTACTTACTTACTTACGCATGTTATTCCCATTGGCCGCCGACCAGCATTCTCCAACCTACTCTCTCCTGGGCCTTCCTTTCATTTTCAATGTCTGTTAATCAGTAAGGTAATTCTATATTTCTCGATTTATTTTATCTAAACTATAACATCTAGTTGTAGTATTTTTATAGAGTAGCTGTACTTGAATACTATTAGCAACAACCTACTGTTGAAGAGAACAAAGCAGATTTCAGCGGAAACGGATAAGATACACATTCAGGAAAACACCTAACTGCGTCAAAAGACAAGCCCTCATTTGAAATACTCAAGACCAATGGAGATGTGGAAGACCAAAGAACACATTATGCCTAGAAATGGAAACAGATATGAGAAGAATGAACAAAGATAGAAGTAGAAAGGAAGGCCCAAGACAGGTTGGGTTGGAGAATGCTATTCGGCGGCCAATGCTCCATTAAGATTAACAGGCGTACGTAAGTAAAGTAATTAATTAAGTAAGTAAGTAAATATTTAGGTAAGTAAGTAAGTTGTACTTGAATGTATTCGATTGAACTGATAAATAATCAAATCACTTACATGTTAATTAAGTAGACAAGAGGAAATTACTGAATCATTGTTTGATTACAACATTGACTCATCAATCTTAACAAACTTGAATGGGATCTTTACCCTCTTATGAAAATACCTGTTTCCGTATAACCAACTTCAGCTGTTTAGGTATGTTAAGTCCCGTAATAATTCCAAGGTTAAAATATTATCGATCATAAGTGGTTGATGAGAAGCTAGATAAATGTGTTGTATCCCGAAGAGAATTATAAATGGTAACTTCTTGAGGACTATTTATGAACCAATGTGATATGTATATTTCCTATTGTACAATTGCTAAGTAACTAAACTATTCATATTTGTGTCCCTCTTATTATAAGCTTCATTTTGACCTATAGATTTTGATTATACCATTTATCATTCTTGAGTTATCCCCAGTCTATTGATTACTGTTCCCCCTATTCACAGTCACATTTGGTTAACTCTTGTCCAAACGTTATTTTCTATTTTATGGTACGATGTGGTCAGTTTGCTCGGTATATAAATCCAGTATGTTTAAGAATAATGATTCATATTGCAGACGTTGTTATTAGTGTTCTGAACTTAAGTGGCTGGACTAGACAGAAAGCAGGATTGACGAGTACTCAAGACTGTTCATATTGCTTTTGTGTATCATTTGGCGATCAATAAATTTGACTGCTCTCTGATAGGCGGTCTTGTAACGTTCATATATATCAAGTGGGCACTCACTCAATAGATATAACAACTGGGCACGCACAGACGCAAGCAATCAATATAATAAATAGAAATGAATTTATGTTATTCTATTGAACTGTTTAGTCTTGTTTTCTTCAACTACTGTATTTCAGTGTTTATATACCTTTAAATATTCAATAATATAAACACCTTCACAACAAGATGCTTCTAGTTATTAGTATTCAAAAATAGAACGTGAAATTTCACACGCTTTCAATATAATTGTGATCCACTTGAAAATGGTCTACTCATTCATAGACTGACATCATGGTGAGAACAAATACAGATATATATATATATATATACATAAATACTTATACATATACATATACATCTTCATTGGATTTTCATATGATGACATCAGTAAGAGTATTTGTCTTTGACATGGTGTAGATAAACCTCGCAGTTTCATGTGAATCTTTCAAATTGTTCTTCTTTTTAGTTGTATTCAGTATTCCGCATTTAAACATCTTCGTATTGGGAAGTAAGTTAGTGTGTGTGATCTTTGATGAAATGTAATTGAATGTTTACTGATGTATATAGTTATCTGTTGAATGTAGTAGAATGTTAATTCGTTTGGTACTGATTATATTTGATGTGCACCGGATGACATTGTAAATGGCGTCGAGTCTTGATGGACCATGATCACCACTACAGTGAGATTACGCGCCCAAAAACGATTCTACTTCTTTAATGTCAAACCAAGTGCTTGATTAGTTAGTGATATACAGAGCAATGGAAACCTATAGCGTCATTCATTTCATTTGATGAAACATTGTACGATGTTCATCATGAAAGTGATTTCTCAATACAAAATGTTCTGTTGAAAGATTTCATTGAATTATAATTAAATTCTTTGATATATATCCTTTTACTGTAGGGTGATGTAGGTGGGAAGTTCAGATGGAAAACCAGTTATGATTGCTTACCACAGTGAATATGAGGATAAATATCTAGGAAGTGGATCACAGCTCAGATGGAAAATGTTTTCACATCTACTATGAATCATTAAGCTTCTGTTTATAGTTTGTTAAATGATTGAGAGAGAGCATAACCATCGAGAGTCTCAATCTTATAGAGTATTCAATGTTAAGTGTGTACAGGCCATTACATTATTTTTGTTGGATTGTTTTTGTAAATGAATCTCTCCTAAGTAGTATATATATGCATATAGATTACCACTTATGTTGCATAATCACAGTTTAGTTTATTTTGATTTATGTTGTTCCAGTTCCTCAAATGATAAACTATACTGCCGTCTATACACAGAAGGAAATTTACAATCCACACTTTATAAATTTCTTCTCAAAAATATCGTCGAATCCGATGACGAACAAATTTATAAAAAGTGAGTTTTATTTACTGAATGTCTATTGTGTAATTTCTATGAACCATTTCAGCGAAGCTATAATTTACACACTGCGTTTGAGCAACGCTAAAACCACCTTGAAAATGTCAACCTACTAACTGGTAGTAAATGATGATTATAGACCAGTGTGAGGAATTCGAATTATGATTTCCAGTTGACGGTTAGGCTTGGGAATTTGATTCAGTGTTTTCATCACGAACTGACATAAGCTTAAATGCCAAAATAGTGCTTAGCTAAACGAGCAAATGAATTTCGCGCTACAATCCATCATCTGTTATCTCAAATCTGATTGTTTTGTCCATAAATTATAGTCTCACCGAAAGAAATTCATTGGTATGGAGTAGAACTCTCGCTTGCTCTGAGTAACATATAAATTGTCACTTGAATCACTTTGTCTCATATATGACAATCAATCTCCAATTGAATTGAAATAATTGTGGCTTATTCAAATAATGCGTTCTTGGTGAAGTGCTTAGTAAGTTGGTCAACATGACAACATGATTTCCTCGGATATTTTGATGACAAAATGTTCGGAAATGAAACAGGAGCAATCATATTCAATAGTTGTATACATCCTTGTTGGATAACTTGCTAAACTATCCATTTAAACACTAACTATCAATGTAAGGCATTATGACTCTGACAAGTGTCCTTGTAATTTTGTCTTGTCATTTCCAGATGTAAAATAACCAACTCTTACTGAATTGACAGTTCTCAGAATTGATAATTCAGCTAGAAAGTTACATAATACCGTGATCTATATTTGTATTACTTTACAATTCAATACTCAAATGAAATAGTTTCAATGAATTTCTTACACATAGTCATGGTCATTATCATTTGTGACATTGAAAGTAGTAGGCTGATACACAAAGCCAAACATCTAGTAAACGATTGTATGAAACCTCATTGTGTTTAATAATGTTTGATATACGTAGATAAACATTCAAGTGGTAAACTAGTAATGATTGGCAACAAAACGTGGATGTAGACGCGGTAAAACAGAATGCTGCTTAACAGTATTGTTAAACTTCAATAAAAATGATTGAGGTATTAGGGTTTTTCGGTGTTCTATAACACTTGCGAACCGAGGTACGATCCAGTTATACGAGAATGAATGATTCAATTACGGACTATATAACCACAGCTGTTAGACAACTCTTTAATAATTAACTGTTAACGAAGTAGGAATTCGAAATAGGAAGCAGAGTAACTTATAATGGTATAACTTAGTATAAATGATAATGAAAATCTGACATTGAAGAACACTGTAAGTGAATAAAGTAGAAGTAATGGTTATCAATGTGAAAAGGGCGAAGATGATGCAAATGAATGAATAAGGCTATAGTCAATAGCAAACCTAACACAGTTCAAAGAGACTTGAGTAAGACCTGTGATCACCTGAGCAAATGGACTGTTTACACTAGTCGTACTACACAACAGGAATAAGACATCACCAGGATTTTGACGATCACTTGACCTTTATTTACAGACCTCAATCACTTCTAAACGGAGTTAGTGAGAAAACACAGGTACTTTTAACGAGAGAATTGTGTAACATATTTAATTGTTCACTCTTCTAGCAAACAAGTGTGGCACATACATCTCTAAAACAGAAACTGAGTGACTTCGAGATGGAATTTTGTGTTCGTAATGTGAGATGTTGTTTAGTGTAGTTCAGTCTTAGAGAGAGTGACTTGGTTGCTCATCAAACATACTGGATGATATAACGCTGTTTTACTAGTTGATTCAAGTTGTATAGTAGATCATTATATTAGGCTCAGTAGACTAGAGTCCACTTACCCCTCAAAACGTAAACCCACTCCAATGTTTGCAAACCACCACAAACTCCTCGAACAAACAAAGATCAATAAAATTACAAATTATTATTTGTTGAAAATCATGTCACATGAGTGTTTGTTTTACAGCTTTTTCTATCAAAATTATCAGATTATTAAACATTCAACTCAAACATTTTAATTGAGATGATGAATGGATTGATGTTAGATGACCATTGAAAACCTGTTAGCACTGGACGACCTATTCGTCCTATTGTTAAACTTCTCAGCAGCTTGCATCCACAATCCCGATCTCGAGATTCGAACCCAGGGCCTTCGGTTTCGCGCGTGAACGCATAACCTCTAGATCATTAAAGTGGCTTCCAACGATTTTAATATCTAAACTCAAACAATCTCATCCTTAACTTTTTTTCTATTACAGGTGAAATGGAATTGTTGAAGTACAATGAAAGTAATCATCACTCTAATCATGTCTATGATCATCAGTCTACTGCATTGCAACATAAACAAATCGATGCACCCAAATCTCATTTTGAAAATTGGAAAAAAGAACGATTTTGGATGATTGAGACAATGAACTCAACTGCTTAACAACAAAAACTGAACTTTATTGATTTATGTTTATTTTGTTGTTTTATTGAAATGGTTGATATTTCTTTAATATATGTGACCTTCACAATTGATGTGTGTGTGTAATAAATACACTGAAGATTAGTAATTCATATTAATGATAATAATAAGTAGTCTGTTTATAACCATCATTGCGTTTATGGAACTGGTAAAACTATAGTTCCAGATTAATCCAATTACTTTCCATGTTCTTGAGATGGTGGAGATGATTTGTAGCTCAGGTGGGTGATTTTTATGTTGGTTTGTTCTCTGAAGAAGAAGTTTGTGCTGATGATGTCGTTCAGAAGGACGATGAAAGCTCCACGACCAAACCATCCAGCTCAGAGAACAAACCAACATAAAAAAACTTTCCATGTTCTTTAGATTCATGAAATGTGCTTTATCACGAGTATCTTCTTCAGAAAATCATATTCCAATTTCTAGTCTTAGTCATGTTGGTAGATGCAGACTACCCTGTTTGTGGTCTGAATGACTATCGTAACCAATGGTTGAAGATTCTGTGTGACATGGCTCAGAATCAATCACAATGGCATAAGTGTATACACTCCTTGTCTTCCATTAATCTGTGAGATTGAAATTACTTTATACCTTTCTTTTATGAACTACTTCTTCTTTCCTGTAATAAATCTTTACACTCAATCCTTCTTCTATATATTACTAACACTGAGGTGACTATTTCTATGAATTCGGTGTTCATCTTGTTATACTAATGAGGTGTGGCAACTTGAACTGATGAATATATGTGCTAGGTCTTACGTTGTAGCTGATTGACTGACTGATTACAACTTTGTTCGTTTCAAAATATAAATGTTTTGTATGTATGAAATTGTAGATGGTCATAGAAAGGCATTGAAATTTCAGTAACTTGTGTATCAAAAAGCCACATTGGTGAATTTGTTTCCATAGTTTCTATTCATTTCGTAAGAAAACTATGTACAGGAAATGTGATGACATCTCACAGGCAAACTCGAGGAAGCTCAAAAAAAGCAGAGATATTCCATCCAAACATCTTCCGGAACAACATTCCAGAACCTCGTTGTGTAGCTTCCCTACTGAACAAATGCTGGAAACCTCAGTATGTGGATTGGATGAATGTAATGATGAGTTTGTTTTTACTACAAATTATAAATACCTGAGATTTTTGTACGATATTTACGCTATACAATAGTATTCCTTTCACTTGTCTTCTGTCTTATCATGTAAAACTTGACGCTTTTAGCGTTCGAGTGGTCAAGTAGTACGTAGCATATCGAGAATGCAACCTCTAGATATAACAGGAGATAAAGTATGAATCGACATATTTTGGATAATTCGTCCAAGAATAGAACGAAATGGCCGTCCAGTGCTTCCAGGTTTTCCCTGGTGGTCATGCTTCAATTGACTCACGCTTTCAAATATGAAAATACTAAATCTCCACAAAGCCCCTTCTGGAAATAATAATAATAATAATAATATGCTCACTAGTGACTGACTTCGAGAGGTAAATCCAGGAATTCTAGTGCGAAGCAGTGATCAACTCTCCTATGTATTTTCTCATTTGTAGTGATCCGTACTTACTCGATTCAGACATATGATGATATGATTCATTACTCTCATTACTATTATGAAAATTGTGAGTTCTAACAAAACAATAGACAACATGAAAACAGAGAATCTAGTTCACCTAAAACAACATTGTAGCAACTATTTTACAGCCAATTCCAGTTATCGTTAATTTTGTTTAAGCCCTTTCCTTCATTAACTAATTTAACAGACATTGTCGTTAGAATAGTAACAATCCGCATTTATCTTTTGTACTGTTATCATCATCAGAGCACATGACAGACTCTAGAAAAAACGTTCATTGATTGAATACCATTCGACTCATTCGCCTCCCCATAAATATGCATGCACACTAATTCCACTATTAATATCTTTTGCTTTATCTCGCTGGGTACTTATAAAACTTGACTATAAATCTGCCCATGAGATTGCTCGCACTTATTCACTGACACTTACTCATCTGCTTATAGCTTTTTAACCTGAGATATTTTATAATAAACTGTAGTTGCAGCTTCTCATTGCCTTCTGATGTTATGCATCATAAAGATTTGTATTACAACGGTTATCGAGGTGAAAGATTAGAGAAGAATTACACTACAACATCTTTGAAATTATGACTAACAGATAGAATGTCAACACCAGATCTCATACGATCTAATTAGTTGAACACAATCAAACTAGAACAACTTAATCATTCACAACTGACTGAAGTCGTAATAGAAAATATGATAACTCTAAAGATTTATTTTAAACAAAAGCTAGATCAAAAATGATTATCGCAACCAATTTCGTCAAAATAAAGATGAACGACATTCATACATTTCATGTTTATACAACTGTTTTACGTAATATAACCTTATCATGTTAATGAGGTCTTATGTTCGATTTTCGATGAATTTTCATCATCAAATATAATATCATCAAGTTCGTAATGTGGAAATTCTTCGACTTCCAGTTCGTAGTCATTCGATACATTGTTATTTTCTATGAAGTATTAAAATAGTAAATAAACAATGGATAGTTAGACATTTATGGAATGTTCACTTGTTGTACTGGTTGTATGGTAAAACTGTCTACATCGTCAGTGAAATCCTTAATTTAAATGACGCTCGACAATTTATTGACATTCATAACTTTCAGATGATCATGATAATAAGTCAGAATCAATAATTTATGTGCTTCATTGGACAGACAAGTATTCTAGGTGATGTTAACATCCAGATGTTTCGATTGTGCACCACTTACAGTGTGATCCATCCAGTTCCGTAACTACTCAATATATAGCTTACTGAATATTATATAATAATTTGCATATGATGATGTTTTGATAGTTCGTTGATTCACTCAAATGCAATTAGATCTTCTTAACCGAGTAAATATCACAAACAACTACCACAATATACTTCTCATTTTCCAGTATAATTCCAGTTGATTAAGAAATACAGAAAGGTCTTATTTGAATTATTCATTAAATCATTCATTACGATGTCTTCATAGAATGTGAACAAGTCAATTACAATTACATTCTGTTTTTCATGCTTTTCCTTACTCATTATAGACAAGTATTAATGGGATGCAATTGTGTCATTCAGTGTATATTCAATGAAGTACTTACCTGTTTCCAATGGACTAATGATGCTGATCTGAAGTAAGACGATAATGATCTGAACAATGAAGATTTCTCGATACATCATTTTAAACGAAATGGGTTAAAAGATGTTTCTCAGCTCTTATATAATTTCATTGGAATGTATTTACAAAATACTTTACCTTCTGTAGTATGATATGCCGACATTGCACTTTTAAGCTTAAGGTTTATTTTATTTGGCTTATCAACTAATAATCTAACTCAGTTTTGTCAGCAAATAGTCATCATTGACCTATTTTGCTTGATAATTAGTATCAGTATATGTACTTATATACAATGGTGGTATGTAATAGTGTGTAGTGACCGGCCAGTCTCGATAAGAACACGATTGGAATAACGGAAACAATTATTATTATTGTAACCAATTGTACCAGAGATTGTTTTACTGTATTTATTTAACTGTATCAGTTTCACTTCTTGTTTCGCTCTCCGCCTTGTTTGGTTCGAACTTGCTCACGCACTGCTCATTTTGCCTGTACTCTTTGGCACGTCTCGGTATTATTTCTATACCACGAGATCGCCAATAAGTATACTTGATCTGGATTAATAAAGCCTTCTGATTTACGAGCTATCAACGGAACCAAGTCGTTTTTGGGCGCGTAATCGAATTGTAGTGGTGATCATAGTCCGTCCTCGACATCCACTACAAGTGCATGAGGTATATGTGTGTTACTCCAACAGGATGATAAGTAGATCACGTGAGTATGTATACAAAAATTTCTGATCATTTAGTATTTCATGTCGGGCATAAATGGTTCACACAAAGTACACTGAATATGATGCAATTCATCAAGAGATACTATATATGAATGAATAATACTAACATTATTGCACACAGCTGCATTGTTGTATTCGAGGCGAATTGTAAACTGAATTGTCTATCTACCGGTTATAGACGACACTCATGTTTTTCAGCTGTGAGGATGCACATGAGATTACAATGACAGGATACATTCTGATCACAAAATCACGTCGACAGATACGTTAAGATTTGGGAATATCGTTAAAGCACACAACTCACAAGTCATCCGACCTTCAAATAGCATCAGACGTTTTCCGTTACCTATTCCCTAGTAGTAGACTGTAACACTTGTTATTCATCAAGAGACTATCAGAAGCTGAGATGATGAATAGAATTTGTAGTTAAGTTGTGCGGTTATGCTATGGTTCCGTTCTATCAGCAAGATCGTTTGATTGTGAAGCATTCATTAGTTTCCCTGTGATAAATCGTCAGTTCAAACGTGTCGTGAAATTGAGATATTCGAATTTGTTCATATCTGATTGTCAGCTTATCGCCTCGAATCTGTCATGAAAATTCAATTGAACATTCAAGATACAAGTAAACACAATTCATATCAACCTGTTTTTGTATTTGATGATGAAAATTCATCGAAAATCGAACATAAGACCTCATTAACATGATAAGGTTATATTACGTAAAACAGTTGTATAAACATGAAATGTATGAATGTCGTTCATCTTTATTTTGTCGAAATTGGTTGCGATAATCATTTTTGATCTAGCTTTTGTTTAAAATAAATCTTTAGAGTTATCATATTTTCTATTACGACTTCAGTCAGTTGTGAATGATTAAGTTGTTCTAGTTTGATTGTGTTCAACTAATTAGATCGTATGAGATCTGGTGTTGACATTCTATCTGTTAGTCATAATTTCAAAGATGTTGTAGTGTAATTCTTCTCTAATCTTTCACCTCGATAACCGTTGTAATACAAATCTTTATGATGCATAACATCAGAAGGCAATGAGAAGC